CTCTTGTACTACAAAAGAGTGTGTGTACTATGTACTATGTGTTGGTGGTTCTTGGGATGTCCTTGTTTGCTCTTGGCTTTGATGGAAATGTGTCAAATATTTCTCCGTGAAGTGTGATGTTTGCTTCTGAATTGAAATATGTATATTTTTATCATGTGGAAAAAGCATTTATATCTTTTTATTTTATTAAGTTTAAAGAAATCATAAATGGATGTTGAATTTTATCAAATGCTTTTTCAGTACCTTTGGTGACTCAGTCAGAGTCCAGTCAGAAAAACAGACTACTCCAGCTATTTCAGAGAGAAGAGATTGAATACAGGGATTGGGTTACACATGTGTTCAAAGGCTAACAAAACACAGAGGAAGCGGGGTACAGTACTAGGATAGTGCAGACACTGTCACTTCCAGCGCTGAGGAAAAATAAGAGGTGATGTTAGCACAGCTTTGGAGCTTCGTTCAGGGCTCCTGTGGGGCTGGTATCCAGGCCTCTGAGAGAGGCACTGTGGAACTGCTGTACTGACGTTTGAGGGTGTGGGTGCAGCTCAGTGAGTGTTTGAACCCCTGGGGAGGGTCTGTGACCTGGTGGGTGCCAGGTGAACTGAGAGGGGTCCCATCTGGTCAGTGTTTGGAGAGCCAGCTGGTGAGGGAGTGAGTACAGTAGAGCCTGAGGACACAGCCTAGGGCTAAGCCCTGCAGCTTGCTGGTGTCTTTGAGGGGGTGTGGGGAGGCTGGCGCTGAGAGTGACGACGGAAGGTGGGGGCTGGAAGCACCATCTGCTGCTGCTGGTGGCATACTGACAGAAATAGGAAACTGGGAAGGAAGTCCCTTTTTCTCTCCTGTCATCTTCCATCCTCTCTCTAGGACTTCCTGCTGGCAGAAGTTAACAGGGAGTCAGCCCACGTGGGGTCTGGAAAACCTAGTTGAGTTGGTGGAACTCTAGCCCCAGTGTTACAGTCTAGCAGAGTAGGCTTGGAGAGGAAGAGCATGGCCAAATAACTGCACATGAGGAATCATGCTGTTCCCTGAGCATGCCATTTCTAGGTGTCCAGAATGACTTCCAACATGGTTACATTAGCTTCATATCATAGAAGGAAAACTCAAACCTTTTCCGAATTACAGGTCACACCACCAATTTGTTACTCTTGTCAATACTGAATTCCATTCATTCTGTTATGCTCTTACTCTTATCAACCTTCTTCTTTGATTTAAAGTGTGCATATTACTTAGGCTTGCAGCTAGTGCTGTGCATATAATGGGCAATGCTGCTGTGTCCTTGTATTCTTTTATTTTTTTTGGGACAGAGTCTCTCTCTCGCCCAGGCTGGAGTGCAGTGACATGATCTCCGCTCACTGCAACCTCCACCTCCCGGGTTCGAGCAATTCTCCTGCCTTAGGCTCCTGAGTAGCTGGGATTACAGGCTTGTGCCACCATGCCCAGCGAATTTTTTTGTATTTTTAGTAGAGACAGGATTTCACATGTTGACCAGGCTGGTTTCAAACTCCTGACCTCAAGTGACCCGCCCACCTCAACCTCCCGAAGTGCTGGGATTATAGGCAAGAGCTACCACGCCTGGCCACTGCTGTGTCCTTTTCAAATCTCAAATGAGCAAGATTGCTGTCAGTCCCTGCATCAGCTAACTGGAAGAACGGTGTATTCCAAATCTTAGCCATATCTAACCTTCCTTTTTCTCTTAGCTTTTATTATGCTTTCATCATCAAAGAGTATAGCTAATAGGATGTGAATTATTAACGTGCGTTGGCATCTATAGAACAGCAGAAATATCCCTCAAAGCTCAAAAACAGTTTTATCTGGTGGATGTGTTCTAGGGTGATGACCATATTTTCTGCTTCTTTGTGGAATAATTCTGTTTAAAACCTGTTGTCCGGGTGGGTCACGGTAGCTCACACCTGTAATCCCAGCATTTTGGGAGGCCAAGGTAGGTGGATCACCTGACGTCAGGAGTTTGAGACCAGCCCGGCCAACATGGTGAAACCTCGTCTCTACTAAAAATACAAAAATTAGCCAGGCGTGGTGGAGTGTGCCTTTAATCCCAGCTACTCAGGAGGCTGAGGCAGGAGAATCGCTTGAGCCTGGGAGGTGGAGGTTGCAGTGAGGTGAGATCACGCCATTGCACTTCAGCCAGGGCAATAAGAGTGAGGTGTCGTCTCAAAAAAAAACAGAACCCCAAAATACAAAACAAAAAAAACTTGTCCGAGCATAATTAATAATAGCACCCTTTCTTTTTAAATGTGCCCTGGTTTGTCCAGGTGGAATGGCTTATGTCTGTTATCTCAGCACTTTGGGAGGCTGAGGTGGGAGGCTCACTTGAGGCCAGGCATTCGAGACCAGCCTGGCCAACATGTTGAAACCCCATCTCTACTAAAAATGCAAAAATTAGCTGGGTGTAGTGGCTCATGCCTGTAATATCAGCTACTCAGGAGGCTGAGGCATGAGAATCACTTTTTTTTTTTTTTGAGATAGAGTCTTACTCTGTCACCCAAGCTGGAGTATAATGACATGATCTCAGCTCACTGCAACCTCCACCTCTCAGGTTCAGGCGATTCTCCTGTCTCAGCCTCCTGAGTAGCTTGAATTACAATTGTGCCCTACCACGCCCAGGTAATTTTTTTGTTTTTTTAGTAGAGATGGAGTTTCACCATATTGGCTGGGCTGGTCTCAAATTTCTGACCTCAGGTGATCCACCCGCCTCGGCCTCCCAAAGTGCTGGGATTACAAGCGTGACCCACTGCGTCTGGCCGAGAATCACTTGAACTCAGTTAATGGAGGTTGCAGTGAGCCAAGATGGTGCTACTACCCTCCAGCCTAGGACTATAGGGTGAGATGCCATCTCAAAAAAATAAAAGTGCCCTGGTTTTGTTGCTGTGGTCCCTTTACATCGAATCTTTCTGACTGATGTTCAAGCCGTCTTCCCTGGTGGAGTTCTGTTCTATTAGAAATTCTAAAAGTTCGCAGGGCATGGTGGCTCACGCCTGTAACCCCAGCACTTTGGGAGGCTGAGGCAGGTGGATCACGAGGCCAGGAGATCAAGACCATCCTGGCCAACATGGTGAAACCCCATCTCTACTAGAAATACAAAAATTAACTGGGCATGGCGGCACGTGCCTGTAGTCCCAGCTACTAGGGAGGCTGAGGCAGGAGAATAGCTTGAACCTAGGAGGAGGAGGCTGCAATGAGCCGAGATCACACCACTGCACTACAGCCTGGGTGACAGAGTAAGACTCAGTCTAAAAAAAAAAAAAAAAAAAAATTCTAAAAGTTAACCTCTCAGATAATTAACCATGGTCCTTCATAGGTCACCACATGAGGATGCCATCCAGAGAGAGGTTGAAGTCTAGGGTTGGGCTGTTATAAGGACCTGCAGTATCAGGTTGCATATGTGCCTGTAATGACATATGTGTCCATGATCTTCAGCATACATGCCTTCTCAGGATGTATTCTCAGACATCCAAACACATGCACATCTCTAAGGGATTTATTTTCAACCTTAAGTATTACTATCCTTTAATAAAGGAATGATTCTTTGCAAGATGAGCGGTCCTATTAATCTTTTTAAATTGCAAGTCTTGGATGCAAGGGCATAACAGGGTATGGACCAGTTGTTAAGGCTCCACACAGCAACAATGTCCAAGTGTTCTTTAGGTTGTGAGTAGGTTGTGAATTTCCTTACAGTTTGATGAGGTTTGTTCTGTTAGGGGTTTTTGAATACTGTTTTTTTTTTTTTGTGACGGAGTCTTGCTCTGTCATCCAGGCTGGAGTGCAATGGTGCGATGATCTCGGTTCACTGCAACCTCTGCCTCCTGGGTTCAAGGAATTCTTCTGCCTCAGCCCCCTGAGTAGCTGGGACTACAGGCATGTGCCACCATGGCCAGCTAACTTTTGTATTGTTAGTAGAGACAGGGTTTCACCGTGTTAGCCAGAATGTCCTCAATCTCCTTACCTCGTGATCCACCCGCCACTGCCTTCCAAAGTGCTGGGATTACCATGAGCCACTTGCCCAGCTAGGTTTTGCATACTTTCAAGGGATTTTCTTAAACTTGAGAGTTCAGAGATGTCTGTTATGAATTAGATTTTAAGAAGAATTGAAAGGGTTCTCCCATAGGCAAATTAGGTCAGCAACTTCACTTTCCATGCTTTTCACACTTTTGGGCTATTTGTCACCTAGTTTCTGGGTCAGGTGTGTATATATGCCAATAGGCTGGCTGTTTAGGTGAACAATAAGATGTCTCAATACCCTGGTGTTGTTACTAATACTCAAAAGATCGATTAAGTGTGAGGTTTCATTAAGGGCAACTTCTTTTTTTTTTTTTTTGAGACAGAGTCTCATTCTGTCACCCAGGCTGGAGTGCAGTGGTATGATCTTGGCTCACTGCAACCTCTGCCTCTTGGGTTCAAGCAATTCTCCTGCCTCAGCCTCCCGAGTAGCTGGGTTTATAGGTGCCCACCACCATGCCTGGCTAATTTTTGTATTTTTAGTAGAGATGGAGTTTCACCATGTTGGCCAGGCTGGTCTCGAACTTCTGACCTCATGATCCACCTGCATCAGCCTCCCAAAGTGCTAGGATTACAGGCGTGAGCCACTGTGCCTGGCCAGGGCAACTTCTTTTCTCCAGGAATGCCACTTAATGCCACTCTAGGACTGGCTCCGAGAAAGATGGGAGAAGCTTAATATTTCTTGCTTCCTGTAACTGTATGCCCTTTGGTACAGGGTAGCCCTGCAAATAGGACAGAAAGATCATTTGCAGTATGAATGGCTGGAGGTTGATGCCCAACTTTCTCTGTGTTCAAGAATGGTTGTTTCCCATTTGTCAGTTGTGTTAGGTCCAAGGGATTGCCAGGACCTAATGAGTCTGGATCTTAAGGAATCAATGAAGCCCAATCAGAAATATCTTAATGTCAGTTTCTTTCTTTCTTTTTTTTTTTTTT